GTATATCTTAGTCCCCCCACCCTGGCAGATATTCTGATTAGGGACATTTTGCTGCAGCTAAAGACCTTGAGAAGGGCTCCCTGTAGGGGAGAGATGAGGAAGCTGAGCTATATCCCCAACCTTACTTGATGTTTTCTTCAGAGGCCAGAGGGAAAAATCCATAAGCCCTCACAGGGTTGCCTGGGGGCTAGGGCAAGGAGATGGTGGGCAGCATGCCCACTTTTGTCTTAGGGATCTGGGTTACCTGGAGTCTTGTCTGATCCCAGAAATACTGCTACCAGCATGCCTTGCATAACTGCCTGTAGTACACTTTAAATTAAAAAAAATATTTTTATTTTATATGTATGAGTGTTTTGCCTGCTTGTGTATAAGTGTACCAACGTGTGTGCAATGACCTGCAGAAGCCAGAAGAGGATGTCAGATCCCCTGAAACTGGAATTACGGACAGTTGTTAGCGATCATGTGGGTGTTGGGAACTGAACCTAGGTTCCCTGCAAGAGCAGCCAGTCTTCTTAGCTGTTGAGCCATCTTTCCAGCCCCTGTAGCACACTCTTTATAAGGTTTACTCTGTGACTTCTGGGGCAAGAAAGGGTTAAATGGCCAATGAGTTGCCCAGCCCAGCAGGATGGAAAAGTTTGTGAGGGAGAGCTGTGGAAGCAGGTGGTGGGTACTTTGGCTCCATAAAATTAGGCAATGGTTTTCTGTGGAGCTGGAGGAACTTAGACACCCTGATTAGAAGATTAGGGAGGGTGGGAGTCTTCTCATTCACCCTGTCCAGAATCCACACTTCTTTCCCCATGTTTCAAGAGTTTGCCAACCAGCCAGACCAAAGAGATGTACCTTTTAGCATAACTAAGAGATTAGCCTGTGCGAAAGGACAGTGAAGAAAGTATGGCAGCTGCCTTGAGGATCTAGTGGGAGACCAGGCAGGTGACGAAGGAGATTGGCTTCCTCCTCCAGGCACCCTCTTTCCAGTTCTCATGGCTCAGCCTAGGAATAAGCTGGCAGTGGGGAGCTGCCCCGTAGAGGTCTGTTCTACCATGATTCCATGAATATAACATGACTTGGTGACATTGGGTGGTGTGTGTATAGTTTTGCCTGGTGCTGCCCTCCTATATTCTTTTGAACATCATTTCCACATCTGAAGACCTCTTCTTTCCTGTCCTGCATGGGCATTGCACCACACAGGTGCATTTGAACACATTCAGGCAATACACTCATACACATAAAAATGAATGTCAGCCAGGAGTGGTGGCACATGCCTGTAGTCCCAGCACTTGGGAGGCAGAGGCAGGCGGATCTCTGTGAGTTCAAGGCCAGCCTGGTCTACATAGTGAGTTCCAGGACAGCTGGGGCTACAGGGAGACCTTGCTTCAAAAAGTTCAATTCCCAGCACCCACATGATGGCTAACAACTATCTGTTAACTCCAGTTCCAAGGGACCCAACACCTTCTTCTGACCTCTGAGGGCATTGCATGACATGGGTGCACTTACACACATGCAGACAATACAAAAAAGACAAAAAAAAAAAAAAGTCAAAAAAATTTTAAATAAAATAAAAATAATAGATAAACTGTTTTAAAAAAATTCTGGTGAGATGGCATGGCAAGTAAAGCTGCTTGCACCAAGCCTAACAACTGGAGTTCAATCCCTGGGACCCACATGGTGGAAAGAGAGAACCTACTCCTGCAAGCTGTCCTCTGGCTTCCACATGCACACACATGAACACACGCATGCACCAAAATAAATTTTAAAATTCAAAACAATGTAGCTGGGCATATTCTCTAAGCTCCCTTGAGCCCCCACCGGTCTCAACAGATGGCACCATCTCTACCCAGGTGCTTCCTGCATTTCCTTGAGGCCCCGCTGGGTGGCGCTGCTCCAGGTCAGCAGTGTTCTGTTTTGTAGGCTGCTCCCTTCAGGTCTTAATGTCTTTGTCTGGGAACTCATATGGTGAGCTAGGCAGAGGTGCCCCCTCACCACTTCAAATAGGGGTGTACCTCCTCACCTTTCCTTAATCTAAAGGTCACTCAGAATGAACTCACTTCTCTTTCTTCCTGGTGTCAGCCACCATGGGGTGTTACATTATGTAAGTATCACTTACTGCTTTGTCTCCGCATGGAGAATACAGGACAGTCTGTCTGGTCCCCACCCACAAATGGAGTCATCAAACGACACGTACCATTGCCACAGGGACCTCCGCTTTTGGTGGCTCCCCTTGTTCTGTCAGGCAATTTATGAGCATTAGCTCATAGGATTTCCATCTGACCTTGAGAGGCGGGTATGTGTAATTCCATTTTACAAATCAGGAATCTAAGGCTCAAAAAATCCAAGGAGACCACACAGCTTGCGACAGGCAGAGCCCAGCTTTGATGCCAAGTCAGTCTACTGCCTGAGCCCACATGCCACCCGTGCTCTGAGTCATGCTTGGGCATGATGATCAATAGGCTTGACTGCTACCTGGATCTCCCTGGTCTCTCCTGGAATGTTCTGATAATTATTCCACTCCAAATCACCCCCTGGTTACCAGATTTTATCAGCCCTTTCTGTCTTTTACTAATTTTGGCTTGTCAAACAACTATAAGAGTTCTTTTACTTGTTCTTGCAGTGGTGGGGAGTTGAACCCAGGAACCTAAGGTCTCCTGCATGCTAGGCAAGTGTCTGCCACTGAGCTATACATGCACCGACCCCATCTGCGTCTTAGCAGCTTGGGCAGGTTAGGAGAGATACTTCCACTTGTTCCCAGGCTGACTGGTCTTAGTCCAAGTCAGCACTAGACTCAGCCTCCAGTTTACAATGAAGACTGGGGTGATCCCTTAGCTTAAGGCACTGGGTCAATACTCATGAGATGCAAATTCTCGTGTTCACAAGGGCAATGAATGGAGTGGTATTTGGGGAGGAATTCTTGTGGGTTAGGGGCCTGAAAAAATTCCAAACCAAAAATATTTTCTGGCAAGTGCCACATAGCATTTTTATTTGATGGTGAGCAACTTTTTCCCCCATGTGCCTTGGCTTTTCCACAATCTGTCTTCTGTATCTGGTGCCAGTGCTTCTGCCATTCCTGTGCTTTTCCTTGGCAGTTTATCACATCCCATTGACCACTCAGGGTGAGGTGTGGGTACTGACAGTGTAGTGGGACTTTTGTAGGTCCTCCCTCACAAACCAAATCCCCAGGCTCCCTGTAGGAGCTTGTGTATTAGCATGGATCTAGAAAGTTTTTTCTCATTTCTGGCATTGGAGATGTGCCCAGGAAGATAAATGTTCTCTCTGAATTTCTTGCTGGCCTTTTGGCTCACCTCCCTCCCAGGCTCTGTGTGGCCCTCCCCTCTCTACCCACCCAGTCTCTCTCCTTTTAGGGTAGCACTACTGGACAGTCACTGTGTCACTTTGTAAGAGTGACCTCACTGACTCCAAACAACCCATGGGATAGACACTTCCCATTTTATAGAAGAGGGCACAGGGGCTCAGAGAGGTTAAACACCTGCCCAAGGTCACTCACCTAGCGTGTGCTGCTATTCTATCCCAGGAATAAGGTGTCTGAGGTAAAACAGACCTAGGTGAGTGTATTGGTTCTGCCTTTGCTAGGGCATGCTAGCAGTGGATGCATCTCACTCAGTTTTTTATTTTTAAATATTCTATGTTATTTTTATATGGATGAGTATATTGCCTGCATGTATGTGAGTGCACCTGTGTCGTGCAATACCGCAGGTCAGAAGAGGGCCTCGGATTCCCCTGGAACTGGAGTTAAGGATGGTTCGTAGCCGCCATGTGGGTGCTGGGAATCAAACCCGGGTCCTCTGCAAGAGCAGTCAGTGCTCTTAACTGCTGAGCCATCTCTCCAGCCCTATTTTTATTAAAAAAAAATTTTTATGTGTATGAGTATTTTGCCTGCCTGTATGCATGTAAGTGCACCTGTATCATGCAATGCCTGCAGAGCCTAGAAGAGGGCATCAGATTCTCCAGAATTAGAGTTACAAATACTTGTTAGCCATCCTGTGGGTGCTGGGTCCTCTGTAAGAGCAGCCAGTGCTCCTAACTCCTGAGACATCTCTCCAGCCCTGACACTCAGTTTTTAATAAAATGGCTCAAACCCCGACACTGACACACTGGATAGTTTTTTTTTTTTTTTGGGGGGGGGGGGGGTCTTTTGGAGACAGGGTCTCCAGGTAGCCCCAGCTGTCCTGGAACTCACTATGTAGACCAGGCTGGCCTTGAACTCACAGAGATCCACCTGCCCCT